AACGATCTATTGGAAAACGAATGTTTATCTAAAACGAAAATGAATCAAAATCATTAATGGCATAAAGAAACTAAACTGATTTAGCCTAGATGACCACCCAAGATCCATTGCCACTTTCCTTAGTAACAATTCACGAAGGCGTTTCGAGCTTCCACAGTTCACTTCACAATAAAACACTTAGTTTAAAAAAAGTAGCGCACCGGATATTTGGTTAAGTTTACTTTGCGACTTTTACTTCGGTTAACCGATTTTCATAAAATTGTTTTGTACCAGTAGCTTAGCTAATACAGACGGCAAAAATGGGTTTTATTTCCATTCTTTACGGAAATTAATGCAGACACTTTGGATCGTGATTATAATCATTTGTTTTCAAACACACGAATAATACTTGAAGCTGTGCTATACTGCTCCTAATCTTGAAAACTGCCAAAGAATGTAGAAAAAAGAGGATTTTGGAAAGATGATCTAGTAAATGGATATTTTCAAAACAAGTAGAAGAAAGGTTGAAAACATCTTATCTATTGAAAAGGGTTGAAAATATCGCATGTATGGTAACAACCTTTTCGTTAAAGCATTTGATGTATTTTTTTTTCGTACAAAAAACTAGAGTTTGGACTAGGGCTTCGCCCGTTTTCAGGCGCTTGAACGTTGAAAGCGCTATATCTCCAAAACGGTTGCAAAGATCAGAACAGCCGCAATAACTTTTTCGACGCCCCGTCTTCATTACTACTTTCGTGAATTAAATTTTAACAAAAATTCCTGTTAAAAAGATACAACAAAAATGTCAATCTCTCAATAAGGACTGAAAATACCCAAAGAGACGTTATTTATTTTTCGATAACTCTTCTCGGGGATTGCCTTTCACTAGTTAATTTGTTTGGAAATTCTGAAACTTTAAATATATTTAAGCAAAACCGAGAAAACATAAAATTTGCTCGAAAAGGGAGAAACATATCTGTTGAATCATAAAACCATTTTGATACCAGTTTTCTTTATCTCCTTAGGATTGTAGGAAAACTCCCCAACCGCAAAATTAATGAATTTGTGAACATTTTTTACTTACATCTGGAAAACGGCCGAAAATAACGCAACAATCATCAGGACGTTTTCGACAGTCTTCTTTTCTTCGATAACATATCAGAAATCCCTAACCGTTTTAAAGCTAGATGCAAAAATGCGAAATTTCTGCAAAGTTTAAGAGATAACATCCCGTTTTTTAACAATTTCATAAATTTTTTTTGAGTTAGCAGGCCTAAAATCAGGATGATATTGAATGGGGGCACTTTTATATTTCGTTTTACACAACAAAGTGTCTTTGTGAACAAATTTCTTTATGTACTATTTTGCCTTAGTTTCCTCAACACTGCTCTAACATTAACAAGTGAATCAAATGTATGGGATTCTTTCAACCAATTTCAACTGAAAACATATGCATTTAAAACTGTAAAAATGCTTGTAAAACCTGCGACTTTGCAACAGTTTCTAACAGACAGGAAGAAAGTGGGTATTTTAAGCGATGTTAGTAAAATCCTGAGCAAATAAAAACAACGCAAAACTAAATTAGTAGTAGTGAAGAATCAATACGTACACTTACCACTGCCACTACAAAAAGGGCTCTCTAAAGCACCATCATCCAAATCGGACAATATTTCCTGTTTGCCCACATCACTGTCTCCTACCAGAAGGAACTTCAGCAGATAGTCGTACTGTTTTTCAGGGGGCTTGCTAGGTTCCCCGGCCATAGCAATGGAGCTAGTTTGTTTGCAACCATAATCAAATAAAATAGTGAAAGTATATCGCTGAGTAACTTTAGGCCAGCTGAATGCAACGTTTTCCGGATACAGTCAAGCCCATTTTACTTTGAGGATTGCGAGTTCGGTAAACTAATGGCCATCTGAAGCATAACAATGCAAGGAATGCCGCTCCGCTGAAGAATAATGAAACGTTCCTGCTTGGATAGTTTATTTTTTTTTTTGCAAGGTCGTTCCTTTAGTAAATAAACAGATGGATTTTTGCACTTAACCGTTAAGAAAAGCGAATTGCGGGATTGTCACACGGTCACCGATACACAACGTGGTTCAACACGTTAACACTGGGTAAATTTCAACAAAAAAATACAGTTTTTGCTACTTTTTTTCGCAAAATGGACAGAAAATTGTTCATGTCACTTTTACTGGATTCGAGTGGGGGGTAGCATGGTTGCCAGCTATTCATCCACGCCCCAAACAAATAAAAACAACTCCTATTGCAACCAATCAATGTGATTGGAGGCACAGAATTTGCATAACATGACCAGTGTTGCCAGGTCAAGTACTACAATAGCAGAAGAATAGACATAAAAAAGTAGGTAGATTTAAAAACAAAACGAAATATAATTAAATGAGTGTACATTTGAGATGAGTTCTCACCAAAACGTTAGAATTACCGTAAAAACGGTAGACCTGGCAAGCCTGAACATAACCTAAACTGTCATTAAATGAGTTCAAATACAATTATACCTGTGAATTATACTGAAGTTTTTAATAAACACATAAACATATTAGAATATAATTTGAACATTCCTTAATTATGGCATCAGGTGATTCAGAGAAGAGAAAGGTGAGTTTTTGCATATAACACGTGCTGAAAATGTATTGGAGAAACCTTCTATAAGCTGCCAAAGTTTGAGCCTTTACTGATGTGTTTTTGCTCGTAGTACGCCGTTGATTACCATTTCCCATTTGCAGCTATCTACTGGAGCTGACAAGAATTGTATACATCTGATGTTTTCACATTTTCGCAGATTTATTAGTCATAAATTTCGTCTTCAACCGGCTCCTCTTTTGTCTCGTCCCCCAATAATCACAGGAAAGTCTTGAAGTTTGGTTTTCTTGGCTTCAGCTGTATATTTTGCATATATTCGATTTGTCTTAATTTCGTGAGTATCTTACCAATCCATTTCTGATCCCAAATTATCATTCTATCTTCTACCGGATTGTTCGACACTTTTTCACAACATATTTGATTCGTATGTTGTTTCCATTTGAGTTTTCTATTTTGTATCAGTTGTTTATGTCTTCCGCCTATCCTTGCTTGATGATTAGTTCAACGATGATTTTCCAGAAACTTTCAATTCTAAAGTTTCTAGTAACCGTCTGGTCTTTAAGGGGTCTGAATCATCCCGTAAATTGAACATTAATTTTAATTCTGATGATCAAACTTTTAATTAGCACCCTTTTACATATAACTTTACAAATTTCAGGCCAACAATCAAATGCAGGACCAAAAGGAGAAAAAACGAAAGGAATCGATCCTGGATCTTTCCAAATATTTGGAGAAAACGATCAGGGTTAAGTTCGCTGGAGGCAGAGAAGCTAGTGGGATATTAAAGGGCTACGACCCTCTCTTGAACCTCGTACTAGACAATACAATCGAATACCTGAGAGACCCAGACGATCCGTACAAACTAGCGGAGGATACAAGGGAACTAGGCCTTGTTGTGTGCAGAGGAACTAGTGTAGTTTTAATTTGTCCCATGGATGGCATGGAATCGATTCCCAACCCGTTCATTTCACAAGACTAATAATAACTATATCTGTAAGTAAATATAAATGGTGTTTTTCTCTCGCGTTCATTGGAGGAAAGGTAGCGAATTGAAACCAAAGTACAACGTGGCAACAACAGTGTTTAATTAGGGCAGAAAGTAGAAACAGTCTAAAGAACTCATCAGTCTATTTGTCATTATATCATGGCAAACACTACTTACAAGTCTATCAGACTTAGTAACGTTGAATCTCTAAGCCGGGAGATTTGCAAAGTAACAACCAAGCTGAAAAACTGATATAAAGATTTACCTATAGATAAATGCTAGTTGTCCATTTTATGAAAGCATCGAATTAAGACTTGGGAAATTTCGTTAGATGGTATCCAATTTTCTAGCAGTGTTCTTCAGTTTGCCTGAACTTCTTTGGGTGTTAAGCTTTCATTCAGATTAGCTGATTCAGTGCACTTCCATAGTCCGTAGGTCTTGCCGATAGTAGTCTGCCATAATCTCAATGTACCATCTTCAGATCCCGAAGCATACAACTCGCCATCCGGAGAGAATTTTATGCAGTGAATCGGGCCGAAGTGACCTTTGAACGACTCTGCAAAAAAATCCCAGGATTAATTTACCCGATTGAGACATCTATTTTTTCGCAGTTATAAAGCAAACAATGTTTTTTAAACCCTTCCAAAACAAAACGTAACTAATAATTTTTATATCATATTAAATTACCTATTTCTGTGCCATTTTGATAGTCATACTTGTAGACCTTCAGGTCATCCCCACCTGCGACAAAGATACTCTTGTCCGGATGTAGGGATGCAGAATTAACAGGCGATGGAATGGTATATTCTCGGATTTTATTGAGGGTTTCCGCATCATAAAAGGCCACTTTGTTGGAATAAGCCACTGTTAATACCGAACCGTCTTTGGATACTTCCAAACTGTTGGGGCTGAACGGGAAAGACACTTTGTGGATTTCCTGAAATTTTCAATTCATTAGGATTTATTTTTTTGTCTTTTTCGCCAATTTACCTGTTTATTTGACCTATCCCAGACTCTTAAGGTTTTGTCATCTGCACAAGAAACCAGGTGCGTATCATTTCTGAAGAACAAAATGTGTCTTATGCCAGCTGTGTGGCCTGAGAACACTTCTGGAACTGCAGATAGACAATAGATTAGATTTTAATAGAAAGTTTCAGTCAAGGCGCTTACCAGCTTCAGGTTTATTTAGGTCAAATAGCCGAACCAACTTCTCATTACTGGCTGTTGCTAACAAAGCGGAATCTCGAGAAAAATTTACACTTTTTACGATGTGATTGTGCTGGAAGGAATGCAGTTCTTCTCCAGTAATGGCATCCCACACTTTGCCTGAAATGGATCCAGTATAATTTGGCGCCTAAGCTAAACGGTTAAAAACATTTACCAGAAAAATCAGCAGCCCCACTGGCAGCTTTTGTAGCATCAGCGTTTAGGGCTACGCCCCAAACAGCCCCTTTATGTCCTTCAAATGTGCCAATCCAGTCTCCAGTGTCTCCTTGTCTGAGCATGGGTTTTCCGTCTGAAGTAGATTTAAACGTTAAAATTAACTGTTACTTATGTGGAATTACGGAAACTTTGCATGGTTGAGTTGGATTTGGAGCGGAATATTAATCAATCCGAAACTAGGCAAGTGTGGCTTACCAGCTTATTTGTTATTGGTTTTGAGAATTCTAGCAATAAACTTCGTCCATATGCTGATAAATTTTGCATTGTAAATTAAGGCTTAAGAAATGAAAATACCAGCATTAAAGTAAGTCGCAAATTGCTAAATTATCTCGAAGTAATTGTTGTTATCAAAGGATTAGTAGATACGGAGTTATTATATGCAAAAAAGGTTGAAGCAGGAAGATCGACAGCTTGCCCTTGATAGTTATCAAAGGCTTTCCATTCAAATCAAAGGTCGTTTTCTTTATAGGGTCGACCGGCGGCCGAAAAATCTAGGCCAAGGTGTTATTCGTGTCTCCAAGAAGGTTAAATGCTGCAGGTATACAATATGTTTGACGAATTTGTAGTCAACAAATCCTGACCTTACAGAGTTCGTGTTTACCTTTACAGGCAGAAATCAAGAAATAGCTGCTCTCGGTGATCTCTGAGAAATCCAAGTGGACGACGGGTCGCGTATGTCCACTGCAAGTCAATGGCGTTTGTCGTAAGTTAGCCATTTTCACAAAAATTCGAAGTAAAACTATAAACAATGCACTTTACACGAGTCCGACGAACGAACTGAAGTTTTCAACTAGCGCATATATCGCAATCGGCTCCTTGCTTAAATGACATGCGCAATTCAGTTTGAGGTTACGTTCAGAGACAAGTCTTGTCTTTATCTATGGTCTTGTCTGTGGTTACGTTAATCAAAATCCTGAAACTTCTAACAGAGACAAGTCTACTTGTCTTTGCTTCTAATTACTAAAACGGGTATGTATATGGTATGGATTAGGACTCGGAGCCAAACTCGAATAATTCGAGTATTCAAATATTCAAAAAGCGAATAATTATGTCCAGTCATAACTCGAATAATCGAATCCTCGAATACACAAACATTATCAAACTCACAAAGTGCAAATATCTTTATATGCACTATATATACTACACTGTATAATAGCTCTGTGTTTAAACTCGATTCCGTTGTTATCTGATATTTTTTTTAAGGTGAGCAGCTTTTGATGTATGATGACAAATTGCTTGGATTTGAGTGAAATTTTGTCTATTTAAAGTCGGCTCCGTTGTTTTCTGCGAACAGTTGAGTGAAAGAGCTTTCTGAGAAGTTTTTTTAGGCGGGCTGGCATTTGATAAACAGTGCAACTTTAAACTTCAGGGTTTATAATCCCCGAAAAAATCAGCTTTTACTTAGATCTGAGTGAAATATTGTCCATTTGAAGCTCGATGTCTTGGTCACACCCAGTAGAAGTGAAATAGAAATGTTTTAAAGGCGTTTGAAATTTTATAGAAATATGTACTAATCCTTACTCGAAATAATGTTATCGATTAAACACCAATACCAACATAATGTGATCAACAAGTTCCACATATCTTTGATCTGGATTCAACCTCCTTTATGTGGTTGAGTTCTTCTTCGAACTCTTCGAGTTGGTCTATAAATAGTTCTTTATATTCTTATGTTATTAGTAGAATATGTAACGGTTAAATGAGTTTTAAGGGTCTTTTCTCTCGTGCTCTCTTTTTCGAACTGTTTCTCCCTTCAGATTCAGTGTGAGTTTTCGAGTAGCGGACTCCTAGGTTCGACATTTCATTTTCTGCGAGGTTCTAGCACTTAAAAGGTCACGCTCGCCGAGTATGTTGGTGAATGCTTTTTGGAACATGGAGAAGTGGCGCTCTTTGCGGCCGTATGGGAGTCTTCTTAGCTTCGCCTTAATCGCTTGAAGAACTTACCGGCGTACTTGTAGCTATCAGAAACAAGTAATAATTCCTTTTCGCTGGTAGCTACGCTGCCGCCGGCATCGCTCCCCGGATTTAAGGCTACTAGGCCCTCTCACTAACGACAAAGTGATGACTCCCCCAGAGAAGAAAAAGTTGATCCTTGAACATAAACGGATCAAAGCTATAAGGAAAAGTGGTTATTAGAAAATAAAAGCAGTTTAAAGAGTTACCTGTTATACCTAAAAAAAATATATGTTAGCAAAATAAGTACCTAAATGACATAATAAAATATTAATAATTCAAAGCTGCAAAAAAATGTTAAAAAAATCATAAATACATAGAAAACCGCAATATAAAATCCGCAAAAAGCCGTATAAAATAAAAGAATCATCAAGTATCAAAGAAAAACTACAACCCTGGTTGCCATCTACTTCTACAAAATAAATCGCTAAAATTCCCTAAATACTCAGATTTTTTCTCAAAAGTACTCAATGCCATTTATTGGCTTTTCCAATTTAAGTCACGCAGACGAGCAGACGCAAGTCTGGTTATAATCTTGATCTGGACCACTTACAGCCTGAAGGATGCTGGAGAGCACAAAAAAACAGGAAAACAGGAAAAAATCACTTTGTTAGTGTGTGAAATTTGCAAAAATTGCGCGAAATCTAAATTAGGACGCCAGAACCACTCGCAGCCTCTTGAGGCGCCATTCGCTAGACCGCCACAAAGTAATAAAACATATATTCACCTACCTTGAGGCACTTTAGTCTGGATTCTGTGGTATTATTAAATTTCGAAACAGCCAAAATTGAAATTTACCCCAAAAAACACTAATAATTGATTGATAAAAATTGCAAATCTGAGCAGTCCCTACTTAGAGTTCATGAAGCGTCCAATTTAGAGTATAATTCACAGCAGGCAGAATAACACTAATAATTGAAGGTGTGTTTGCAGCAAAACACCCCTGTGTTACATAATAAAGCAGTCTACTGTGGAAAACCTGACCAATTAAAGTTAAAAACTGAGCAAAAAAGTTGAAAGTTGCAAATCTGAGCAGTTCCTACGTAGAGTTCATACAGCGTTCAATTTAGAGTGTAAGAACCGTTTAATTTCGCGTTTAATTCACGGAGATAATAAATAATTATGTCGTTTTGGGCTTTCTAGATTTCGATGATGAAAACTAACTTTCGTTGTAGATTATCCCTTTAATAACACTTTTTTCTTAGCGACATTTCTTCCGAAAATGTCCTTTTCAACGACCTTTCCAGGTTGGAAAGGTCGCTATTCTCCCCTGCTTCGGTGAAAACAGTTTTAAACCCAAATAGTATGATTGGAATTATTGAAAATGTATCAACGGGAAACCAGCAATAAACCCAATCAACTAAAACTAACCAATACTAATCAACCCAAAGCTAATAAAAAATAACCCAAATAACTACATCTACAT